CACAGGAAGCCCTGGGTTCCATCTCTGGCATAGTTACTGGGTGTACTGGTGCTTGCCTGTAATCCCGGCAGTAGATCAGGAGTTCAAGGTCACCCTTAGTTAGCAACATTGAAATCCACCTGCTGTCTTAGTGGCCTGGCAGGACATTCAAGAACACTACCTGAAATCCCTAGCACCTCTGCTCTGGAGGTGGTGAAGGAGGTGAAGGCAAAAGTAAACATAAGAAAGTCCACTCTCTACGCTTTGGCACCTCAGCACAGCCTAGCCTTAAGCATGCTTATAAGTCTACCTTCCGCTCTCCCCGACTTGTTCTTCCCAGCAGGTCCGCCTGCCTTTCCTACTTCAATACTACCACTTACCTGACATGCCGCCATGCTTCCAGGCCTGGCTTGGCCATTCCCACCTAAACAAAGTCACTCTGTAAATTTTACTTCCAGGAAAAGCCTCTCTTAAGATCCCAATCTGAATTTCTATACTTCACCTAGCAGGTTCAAGATCCCTGGCTGATTCCCTAACATAGCAAACATTTTGGGGTGGGGAGGGGGGTAGGACTGGCTAGATGGCTGACAAGATAGTGTATTGGGTAAATGTACTTGATATCAAGCCAGATGACCTGAGTTTGATCTCAGAATCTACATAAGGGAAGGATGGAATCGACTCCTGAAAGTTTTCCTCTGACCTCTCCATGTGTGTCATAACATGTGCACACCCCCAAACACATACAGCAAATACACATGCGCGCACACACACACAAATAATAAAATTAAATTGCAATTTAAAAAAATAAAACCATATCTACTTTTTCTGGATTTTCTCCCCAGAACATCTCCATGTTCACCTGAGGTTGAGCAACTGGGGTCTCTGCAGCAGCACTGTCATTAGCCACTCAATCTATTTATTTAATTAGCAGTTAGATTCATTTAAGAAAGTAAAACTAATTACTGGGCAGAGGAAATGGCTCAGCTGGTAAAGTGTCTGTGTAAACATGATGATCTGAAGTTGGATCCCAAGTGTCCACATAAAAATCCAGGAGCCTGGAATTCCAGCACTCAGGGAGGGGAGGGAGGGTGGGAGCAGGCATACACCAAGACACTGGTAAGCCAGGTCCAGTGAGAGAACTTGTCTTTAAAAAAAAAAAAAAGTGGAGAAGTGATTTAAGAATAGGTCTTATGCTAATCTCTGGTTTCCACGTGTGTCCATACACACATACCCTGTTTGCCATGCACTTTCTGCATGTAAAATAACATCTTTATGCCCTCATCACCATTTCATGGGGGAAATCAATTTTGCAGGTTTCTACCTGAAACTGACAGGCCAGGTGAGTCACTTGCAGGCACAATGGGCAAGGCAGCTTATCGGGCTGGAATTCCCGGAGTACTAAGCACAGCTCTCAGAGCATCACACACATTCAGTACATTTTTGTTGGATGAGCAATCCTCAACTGAAACACTCTCACTGCCATGGTTTCCTGAGAGAGCATCATGTATCCTCTATGGCAAGTTATACAAAGCCCTGCAGTATTCTTTCAAGTTGTGTCCTAAGCACAGCCACCATGAAGCATTATAAGCTGGCCATTGCAAACTCATTCAGCAGAGTTGTCACATGCTTTCTGAAGTGTTCCAAGTAAGGCTGGTAACTGTATAAGTGCAAAAATATTCTCCCTTGATTACGCACGAGATGTTATCAGTGAGCACAAGTGCTGTTTTGTGACGACTAAAATGGTCAGCATCCATTCAGGCTTGTGACCTATGAGCAGATGGAGACAGCCAGTCTTTTGTGGCTGCAGTGGCTTAGGACCAGCTTTAGGACAGAGGGTGGCTCCTGCCTTTGGATGACATTCTTCCATTCAGAATGGCCTGTTACTGGGAAGGTCATGGGTAGGCATGTAGGGAATGGGGCTCCAGGTACACTTGAGGCCTGCTGGGCCCAGGAGATATCCTGTAGTTGGTACAGGTGGGCACCATTTTCAACTCTCCAGGTCTCCTACCTAGCTCCTGAAGCCACCTGACTGCTCCCACAGTGCAGTCTCTACATAAACTGAACTTAGGGCCCAGTCTTTACTGCTGAAGAACCAAACTGTGAGGTTTCTAGGCTCAGAAGGGTGAGCACAAAGCTGGTCCATGGGGACGAATGTCACTTCACCCTAACAGCCTTAACCCTGGTATGAGACTAAGCACACTAACACACCAAGAAATGACAGAGCTTTTCCTGGTATCAGTTCCTGCCTTCCAGCTTGTTTGAGACAGGAGCTCTTATTTACCACTGCATATGGCAGACTAGCTTACAGGGATTCTCCTGTTTCTACCACCCATTCATCAAAGGAACACTGGGGTTACAGACTACATGCTACCAAACTGCTTTGCCCTAGTTCTGGGGACTGAACTCAGTTCTTAATGCACTTACAGGAAATGCTTTTACCCACTAAACCCAGAGAAGTAGACTTCTGATGAACAGGCTTGCGCCCTCAAATGCAGGTACAAGTGTCTATTTACTGGCTCTGAACTCACCAGTCTTTTCTTTACACCCAGCTAGAGAAAAGGAAGCTAAATTCAAATTGGCAGGGGAAATGGAAACACTAAATCAAAACTCCAAAAAAAAGCTCACAAGAGTGCTTCTTGTTCTCCTAGGACTAGAGTTATCCCAAGTACAAACTGCAGTTCACAACTACCTAAAACTCCATTCTAGGGAAACCACACCCTCTTCAGGCCTCTGTGGGCACCAAACATACATGTGGTGCACAGACATATCTAGATAAGCAAAACACCTATACATATAAAATAATTGGGGGGCTGTACTATACTAACTAGGATAAGTATAGTGGACATGTTCTAGATTAGGACTGCAGGTTGGTAAGCTTGTAACAATAAACTATTTGCAAGAGACTTAAAGCAGAAAAGAATGAGTTATACTTGCCCCAAAAAGTTAAATTCTAGCTACGAGAAAGCCACTTCCATCAGATTATTATCATAGTGTTTTACTGTTATCAGTGCTTCAAGGGAACCCTTTCAAAATGACAAAAAGTTTTAGTAAGTGACACCAAGTCTACATCTGTAGCTCTCTCACAAGGTATCAAGAAATATAAAGGAAAACCACTAGAATTATCAGGAGAAATCAAGAAAATGCACAATCAGCATGCAAGGTTCTTTTAATTATTATTCTGTGTTTTGTGTGTATGGTGTGTGCTTATACGTGCATGTGTACCAGCTGGTGTAAACAGACCAGAAGAAGGTATCAGGAGTCTTCCTCTATTGCTACACCTTATTTACATGAAACGGGGCCTCTCAGTGAACCTGGAACTTGACATTTTTCATCTAGCCTGGTGGCAAAGAGCCACGGATCCTTATGGTTTTTTGTTTTGTTTTGTTTTTTGTCCTTCTGTAGTGATAGAGGTTAAAGACATGCATCACCAAACTGGTTGTCCTTTTATGTTGGCAGGACTGTTACACAGAGAAATCCTGTCTCAAAAACAACCCCCCACACACACCCTCAAACACACAAAGAAGACAGCTGTGACATTGATTGACCAAACATTTAACAGTAAAGCAGAAAAACATCTTTGCTACTATAAACCAAAGCCAGGGGGATCTGGGGCCACATTATGAAGGAATCCAACTACAGCTAGTAGCAAACTTATTGATTAGCTTTCCTTGGGAATTAACCACCTCTGCCAAGGAAAGAAATATCTAAAGTATATTTAGGAGTTAAAGCTAAATGTGCAACATAGCCTGCTTGCTTTCTTAGCAGCAGAGTATTATCTGAGTGAACTGGGATTGACTGGGCACCTCCACACTCCCACTTCCCTGTACACAGCCAAGGAAGTTCTGATGTTCTGAAAACAAGATGCAGTCAAATCAATTAAAATCTGGCAAATTCAATTACATTCTTACTACTGTTTTTTAAAAATAACAATTATTATGTGCTGAATATAGGCTTAAAAGATGAAATATTCTCTACTGGGGAAAAGATGTTTATTCAAAATTTTCACACAGAAACTGTTATTAAAAGTATTCATATATCCGAATGAAGAATAATCTTTCCAACTATCAATATCCTTAGGTCACATGCCTAAAAATAAAAAAGAAATGACTTTTTTGAGAGAGTGTCTCACACAGCTCTATCTGACCTCAAATTCACTGTGTAACTGACCTTGAACTCTTGATCATCTAATTTAACAACATAAATGTATGCATTTGCTGTTTTCAAAATCTGAAAGGGGCTTGGGAGACTGAGTGTGAAGACCAGTGTTTGGATCCCCACTAACCATATAAATGCTGAGTGGGTGTAGTACCTGCCTGTAATTCTAGTGTGTGGAAGATGAGACAGTGGATCTCTAGGACAGAATGGCCAGCTAGATTAGCTGTATATGAGGGCTCAGGTTCAGCAAGACCCTACCTTAATGACTAAGATACCAGAGAGTAACTGAGGAAGACAACTGACATCAACCTCAGGCCTCCACATGCACCTGCACACATATGTCCCCACACAAAAACATGCAAACATGCAAATACACACACAAAAACTAAACCATCTGAATGACTAGTGGTATTCTCTTGGTAAGAATTTTCATGAATTACCTTGATGAGTGAAAAGTCAATTTCAACCAAAAAAGGAAAAGAAAAATCAATTTCAAAATGCCTAGTTGATGTGAAGACCTTGGGCCCTCAGGAAGGGTATGGAGGATCCAAGCTTTAGCTCACCCATATAGTGCTACCTAGTACATGCTTAAACTCCTTGAGCTTTCTTTCAGTCATATGTACAATATTGACAAAAATCGAAAGCTAAATCAAAGGTCTGTAGGATTCAACATGGTCATAATAGTAAACAGCTCAGCTTAGGGTCAGGGTACAGTGAACACTAGAAAGGTAACAAGCTAACACATCACAAAGTTCTTTAGTGGGTAGACATGAAAGACAGCCCTATCCACCATTTCTGAAAAACAAAAACAAAAAACCTGCAAATAACCCCAACCACTTCCACTTGAATTTCTACTAAAAACTTACCAGGTCACAGAACTCAAACACTAGAAGGTAGGGAATTGCTTCCACACACTGCCCGACACACTGAAGAACATTTGGATGCTGAAGAATACTGGTAAAAAATAAAAGCCAGAGCAGTGGTCATCAAGAAATATGCTAGTGATGCACATTTAAGCCACAATGATTTCAATTACAGCCTGACAAACTCAAAAGGTCACATTACAACTGGAAACGGTGACACCTGCCTTTAAACGCCAGCACTCAGGAAGAAGTTCCAGGCCAGTCTGATATACACACTAAGTGCGAGGCCAGCAAGGACTCCGCAGTAAAATGCTTTCCCAGGGCCTCCTGTGTGCTGGACTCTACCACTGAACTATACTTCTTGCCCAAAGTGACTCTTCTTGCACACTGTTCCTGTATCTTGCAACCTTGCTGGACTTGATTGTTTTTCCTGGATTTTTAAAAAAATAAATTCCTTGGGTTTCCTACATAAACCTGTATTTTCCCTATTGTATCAAGTACGCTACACAAGTTCAGTGAAGTGTCTTTGTGATGGCTGGGTTGAAATCTTTGTCAGCCGCAATATCCCTGCCATCGATGTTGGCTGTCTGTCTGTCTTCCTTTCTTTCTTTTTATCCTCAAGACAAGGTTTCTTTGTGTAGCCTTGGCTGGTCCGAGAACTTCCTCTGTAGACCAGGCAAACCTCAAACTCAAAGATCCACCTGCCTCTGCCTCCAGAGTGGGGATTAAAGGTGTGCGCCACCACCGTAGGCCCATTGCTTTTTCTTATCCAAGCTGAGTGGTTCTCAACTGACTTGTGAGCACTTTGGGTCTAATGAGAATGGTTTTCAAAGTAGTTTTATGAATGTAATTTTCAGACCACAGACTGCTTGCAGAACACATGCGAAGGGTCACTTACTAGTAAGGCTCTCCGTTTTTTAGGAAAGTATCTTGTTCCTTCGGGCTTGCACTTGCTTTTAACTCCTTCACTATGACTCTTGCTACGCTGGTGCCTGTGTACGTCTCTCCCAGGAGGACCTACAAGCAAACAATGATTTTTCCTTGTCACTTTTACCAAAATGATGAAGATGTATGCCTCAATAAGTAGAAACAGAATGAAGGGAAACAAGTGACAACTAAATGGCCTGTTACTCTGCATACCAACTCACAAACTCAAACACTTAATCTGCATATGATAGAGTATGCATGTAACCCCACACTGTGGAGTCTGCCATAGGAAGACAAAAAGTTCATAAAAGGCTAGCCTGAACTATATAGAGATACCCTGTTGAAAGAACAGGAAAGGGGAGAAAAAAGGAAAAAAGAGAAGAAAACAGAAAAGACAGTGAAGAGAAGGGAAGGAAAGGAAGAAAAGAAATGGAGGAAGGGCTGTAATAGGCCACTTAAAAATATTCACTAAGTATTTAAACATTCATGTTATATATCTTTTCTTCTTACTTGGAAGTGTCTTTTTCACGGAAATGAACCATGACAGAACAGCAGAACCATGTATGAGTTCCATTCAAGCAACTCAAGTACTCCTTCAGAGCAAGCACTTCAGGTACATGGGTACTGGTCTACAAGTGGGAGGCTGATAAACAGCCAACAAGCACTCACCACATAGAAACTAAAAGAATCCATGGTATTCCGATGACATCAGGCCTTTGACTTGTCCCAAAACTTCAGCCAAACACACAGAAAAATAACACTCCCCAGGGATTAAAAGGTGAAGTGAGCTACCTCCACTGTGACACATCGGGGGGCAGGCCCGTTAGGACAGAACAGGGTCCTCATAAGAAGGGCTCCAAGCTAAGTACAGTGATAACACACATGTAGCCCCAGCTACTTGGGAGACTTGAACCTAGGAGTTCACAGCTACCTGGCCAATATTGAGAGTCTCAATCCACACATATCCCCTCCCTCATCACCTCCAGGAAAAATAAACACAAGAACCAAGCTCAGGACTGGAGAGATGGCTCAATGGCACTGGCTGCTCTTCCAAAGGTCCCGAGTTCAATTCCCAGCAACCATATGGTGGCTTACAACTATTTATAGTGGGATCTAATGCCCTCTTCTGGCATAAAGTCATACATGCAGAGAGAGCACTCTATACAAAAAATAAATAAATCATTATTTAAAAAAAAAAAAAATCAGGCTTAATAGTGAACTCCTTTAATCCCAGTACTTAAGAGGAAGCAGAGGAAGTCAGATTTCTGTGAGTTTGAGGCCAACTTGGTCTACATTGTGAGTTCAAGGATAGCCAAGGATACACAGTGAGAATCTGTCTCAAACAAAAACAACCCACAAGAGATCCCAGAGAGAATGTCCATCTATCATGTTAGAAAATGGCCAGAAGGTGTCATTTATAAACCTTCACCAAATGCCTAATCAACTGGTACCCAGTCTCCAGAGTTGCAAGAAATCAATTTTTGCTTCTTAAATCTATCCAGCTTACGGTATTTTGTTACAGCAGTCTGAACAGAATAAGGCAACCTTCTAGAAAGTTATGCACCCAACACAGCTGAGCTCATGCAACCTCTCAGTTGCAAGGGGTGATGAGAAAATTTTTATTAACACTACATATGTAATTTCGCATGACCCAATTAGTAATTAGCTTTAAAATGTGACCTGTATAATCAAGAACGAGTTAAAGAAAGTCAAGAGCACTTTACCTTTCCAAACCAGCCACTTCCAATTTCCTGTATATAGTTTAGACTGTGACGGGCAACTTGAGACTTCAAACCTTCTGGGGAGAAAAGAGAAAGAGAATATTAAAAATACAAAGCATCTAGGGAGGCCAGAAAAAGTCATGGTGGTACAGTTGTTAGACTTCAGACCTTGGGAAGTCTGAAAGAGGATCAAGAGTATAAGGCCAGCCTGGGCTACTTGATGAAACCTTGTCTCAAAGCAATAACAATACACACACATAGATGCACACACACAAAATAATGATGATGAAGATCATCTTTAAAATAAATGTCAAATATATAACCTCTAAAGCAAAACTACTGGTGCTGATAAAGGTAAAAAAAACATATACATTAGCATCTCTAGTTCAAACTAATGACAGACTCTCAACTTTAAATGCTGACAATATATTTTTGATATCTTTTTTTTAAATACTATCTTATATTGTTGGTTTTGTTTTTCTTGATACAGTAACTCTGAAATGGTGACACAACAAGTAGACCAATACACACATAAGGGGAGTCCCAGAAGAAAACAACACAACAAAACAAAAAAAACAGAATATGGCCTGCTACTGGTACAGGACATTAGGACATGCATCTCCACATCCAAACTGTCAGCAAACTCCAATGACATCAGACCCAGAGAACACAAAGACCCCTAAAAACCAAACTACAGAGAGTCAGAGCATACTGAGAGGGCAGAAATGACTCACTGTGTACACAGGGTCCTAAGTAAAACTAAGAGCCAATTAGTCATCAGAAATGGAGGCCTGAAGGCAGTGGGCTCCCAAGATAAAGTGCTGGGAGAAAAAGACTTTCAAACTAAGAATGCTGTATCTGACAAAATCACATTCCAAACATGAAGACCTCTCAGGTAAGCAATGTTGGAGCTTGCTACCAATACACTTGCCCTGCAATAAATAAATGCTAAAGGGGGCCATTCAGTTTGTGAATGGAAGGACAATGAACAGAAATTCAGAAATATGAAATGAAAGGTGGTGTAGCACACTTTAATCCCAACACTCGAGAGGTGGATCTCTAGCCAGCCAAGAAACCCTACCTGGGGGTTGGGAGATGGGGAGGGGGATCTCCCCAGTCCGATTTGTGAAATTTCCATCAATTAAAGCTCAATTGTTATAAATGTATGATGCTAACTGTAATCTTTATTTCAATCATCAATATTAAAAAATAAACACAAAAACAAAGAGAGAGGCTTAAGAGATGGCTCTAGGTTGAGATCATTTGCTGCTCTTCCAGAGCATCTGGGTTCAAATGCACCCACATGATGGCTTGCATCTGTAACCCCAGCTCTAGGGGATCTTACTCCTCTGCCCTCCACTGGCACCTGTACTCACATGCACATACCCATATGCAAACTTGCACATAGACAATATTAAAAACAATAAAAATAAAACATTCCCAAAAGGAAAAATATTAATGTTAAAATTTAAAAAGCAATCCAAACAAACGTGGTGAAGTGGTTTTCTTTAAAATAGGTGTTAAGGTTGACAAGATGGCTCAATGGGTAAAGGTACCTACTTGCCAAATCTAATGACCTAAGTTCAATCCCTGAAACCCACATAGTGGAGGCAATGAACAAATTCCCACCAGCTGTCCTCAGAACTCCACATATGTGGCATGCCACCCACAAAATACATGAAATGAATATATAATGTATTTTGGTGCCAAGATTGGGCTGGAGAGATGCTCAGCAGTTACGAGAACTTGCTACTCTTCCAGAGGACTCAGGTTTGTTTATACTTATTTACCGTGTGTGTGTGTGTGTGTGTGTGTGTGTGTGTGTGTGCACGCGCGTGGGCAGGCATGGGGGGGGCGCGTGCGTGTGTACGCGTGGGCACCTGGTTATCTGTATGTGTTCTGTGTGGGTACCATCAGATCCTCTGGAAATGGAGTTATAGGCATTGTGAGCATTCCAATGTGGGTGCTGTGAACCAAAGCTGAGTGAGAGAGTTCAGCAGTTCAGAGCACTCACTGCTTTTACAGAAGACTCAGGTTTTGGCCCCCAGAATGGTGGCTCACAATAGTCCTTAACTCCAGTTTCAGGGGATCCAGCACCTTCTTCTGGATTCCATGGGAACCAGACACCCATTCAATGCACACATACATGTAGACAAAACACCCATACACATATACATAATTAAAAATAACAAAAATCTTTTTTGAAAAAAATGTGAAGGTGCCACTACATTGCAATGAGGGCAAAACCAGAGTCTTCAGACACTGCTCTTGGGACAGGTGGACAACCATGTTATTAATTAAACTTTAAAGTCTTATCCTTGGGCTTGGGAAGTAGTTCAGTCAGAGTACTTGCTGACCAACCCCATAAAATCAGGAATGGTGGCATACACCTGTAATCCTAGCACTTGTGGGGTACAAAGAGGCAGGAGGACCAAGAATTCAAGACCATCCTCTCAACTATAACACCACAGACAGCTAAAAAACAAGAAGACGACTCTGTAAAAAAAAAAAACCCAAACAGATCAGAGGGCCAGCATAATGACTCAGTGGTTAAAGTGCCTGCTAACAAGACTAACTACCAGAGCTCAATGCCCAGAATCTACATGAGTGAACTAATTCCCACAAGTTGGCCTCTGATCAATCTCTCTCTCTCTCTCTCTCACACACACACACACACAGAGAGAGAGAGAGAGAGAGAGAGAGAGAGAGAGAGAGAGAGAGAGAGAGAGAGAGAGAGAGAGGGAGGGAGATGGAGAGAGAGAGAGGAAGGCAGGGGAGGAAGGAGGGTAAGGAATGGAGGGTGGTCAATAGATCACATAGCTAGAAAGATAGCTAGCTCAGTGACTGTTGCTCTTTCAGAGGACCCAGATTCAGTTCCCAGCACCCACGTGGAGGCTCACAACCACCTGTAACTCCATTTCCTAGGGACTGGCATTCTCTTCTGATCAAAGAGGTTATCAGGCATGCCTGTGGTACACATATATACACTTAAACACATAAAAAATAAGTAAATCTTTAAGAACAGAGATGACATCAGAGAACTACAAATAAAAGCTGAAAGTATGAAACTCATAAAAGATACAGGGATATAATCTTTGGGATCTTTGATTTGACAATGGTTTTTTAACTATGAAATGAATACACATACAACAGAAAGCAGGGAAAATAAACTGGATTTAACATAAATAAAAAAATTTTATGGGTCAAAGGAAACAGAGAATGAAAAAGAAAGCCTTAGGAATATAATAATCTGTACAAATCATGTGTTACAATTAAGTTATTATAATGAAGACAATGGCAACATTAGCTAACAGAAGATAATAGAAAGCCTATACCAGACCCATACATGTGGGAGCACAGGGCTCAGGAGGACTAAGGAGTGAATGAAGCCTAAAAGATATAGAGATCTACCAAGACCAGACCTTGACTCCCATACCTAGAAATCAGCTCAAGATAGGCCGCGGATTTAACTTTGAGGCAAAAACCCTAAAATGTTGTAAGGATGTGAGTGTAGCTCAATGACAGAGTGCTTGCCTACCATGCATGAGCCTCTGGATTCCACCCTCAACACCACAAAAGAAGTCCTTATCATAATAAATAGTTTTCACTTGTAAAAGATTTATGTGTATGAGTGTTTTGACTGCATGCATGTATGCACACCACATGCATACCTAGTGCCCACTGAGGGCAGAAGAGGAAGTTGATTCCTGGAACTGGAGTTACAGATGGTTGTGAGCTCTTCACTGCTGAACCACCTCTCCAGCCCAGCAATATTTTTAAAAGTGCAATTCTGAGCCAGGTGGATCTCTGTGAGTTGGAAACCACTTCTAGGACACCAGGGCTGTTACACAGAGAAACCTTGTCTTAAAAAACAAAACAGAGAGACAGAGAGATGGAGGGAGATACTATATCATCTAGGAAGATGGTTAAAATGCTTGCTGTTCAAGCATATAGAACTGAGTTCTGATCCCTAACATCCACAAAAGTCAGGTGCAGCAATCGTGTGTCTGTAATCCCAGGCTGGGAAGCAGGAGGGTGATAGTAACTGGCCAGATTCAGAAGGATACCCTAACTCCAAATTTAAAATAATAATAATAACAACAACAACAATAATAATAATAATAAATAAAGTGGAGAGCAATAGAGGAAGAAACCCAACATCAATCTCTGGCCTCATCACCCACAGGCATGCATGAACTAACTCTCAAAAAAAAGGAGAAAAGGAAAGGGGAAAAAAAAAGCCTAATGTGAAGTAAATAAAATAAAACCACGAACCATGCTCAATGAAGTCTTTTTCTTGTATTTGTATATTTGTATTTTTCAGTAAAACACTTTGACATCCCTTACTAGATTTTATTTTAGCAACTACCACGGAAATTATAGTTAATAATCCTAAATTTATAACACTAACATGATATGAATTCATACCACCTTAGCTTCATAAGCAATAGCATAAAAATCCCCACTTGATGAGCAGGGATATCAACTATACAACTCTTGAAGAGTAAGCTGACAACATCCATCAAAAGTATAAGCACAGATACCAACTTACTTCTAAGAAGAAATTCCACACATGAGTTAACTTTCACTTGTTTGCTTGTTTAGTGTGGGGGTGAGGAGTAGGTTTGTACATAACCACAGCAAGCATGTTGAGGTCAGACAATGAGTGGGAATTGGTTTTTTCCTTCCACCACGTAGATTCCAGTGGTTGAACTCAGGTTGCTCATCAAGCTTCTTAGCAAGCACCTTTACTCACTGAGCCAACTTGCCTGCCTACTACTTATTTTGTAGTTATGTGTGCATGGGGGTTTCCCTTGAAATCCAGAGATAACAGTAGTCCCAGGACCAAATTACAGGCAGTAGTGAGCCACCTAACATAGGTGCTAAGAACCAAATTCAGGCCCTGCTCTGCAGAAGCAGCAGATGCTCTTAACCACTGTTCTCTGGACATCCACAAGCAATTTTTTAAAGAGTTTCAGAACAAAAATATCTACCCATTAGAGACTGGTTTGATAGACTATGCTAAGAGTATACAAAAATTCAAGTACTAACTATGAACTATAAACAAAAATAAACAAGGTATTTTTATTGATAAGGAAAGATCTTCAGGATATATTGGTGTAATGGATGATCTTCACTGTCAAGTTGACTAGCTTTGAAATCACCTGAGAGACAGGACCCACTGCATATATACAAACATATAGAGACAGACAAGACACACACACAAAGAGAGCACAATAGCAAGCAAAATGTTTACTATGATAACTGAATAAAGAGAGAGGGATTATGCATGTGGACAAGAAGAGCTATACCAGACACCACTGTAACCCCTCAATTTGCTATTATCCTAAAACTACTCTACAAAAATAGTCTAAGCCGGGAAGTGGCACAGGCCTTTAATCCCAGCACCCAGTAGAGACAGGCAGGTAGATCTCTGAGTTCTAGGCCAGTCTGGTCTACAGAGTAAGTTTTAGGATAGCCAGGGCTAGACAGAGAAACAGTATCAAAAACCAAATAAATAAATAAATAAATAAATAAATAAATAAATAAATTGAATTTTTTTAAAGCCTTGTAAAAAGGAAACAAATTATTTAAATAGGGGAGTATATCCATTAAAAAATACTCAAAAGGCAGAGACAGGCAAGAACTCAGTGAGTTCTTGGGACAGCTAGAGTTGTTGTTACATTGATAAACTCTGTCTTGAAAAACAAACAAACAAAAATCCCAAAATTCTAGAAGAGTATGGTGGCACATGCCTATAATCCCAGTATTTAGAAGGCTAAAACAGGAGCTCAGTCTGGGCTACAAAGTGAGATCCTGTTTTCGCCATTTTCCCCTGAAACCCTCACTCTATCCCCCACCCCACGCCCCAAAAAAACTTCTGGAGAGATATATAAGAAACAAAGAAGAACATTTCATTATACATACTTTTCTATGCTTTAATTTCAGGACCAAGAGAATATATTTTGTGTTTACATGGCCAGGTATGGTGGTACACACCTTCAATTCCAGCATTCAGAAGGCAGAGAGGCATGCTGATCTCTTCAAGTTGGAGGCCAGTCTGACCTACATAGTGACTTCCAGACCAGCCAGAGCTAAATCTTTAGACCGACCCCCCCCCAGCCCCACCCAAAAAAAAAAAAAAAAAAAAAAAAAAAAAAGGGTCACGCTACAGGGGAAAAATATAGGAAAAATAGGTAGAATTTCTAAATTTGCTGGCAAACAGGTAACAAGCCTTATACATTTCATAAGTTATCTCTCACAATCAGACACAGTTTACCTACAAAATACACAACAGACCACTGTCATTACTCCCTGTAACTTAAAGAGCTACCCATTGCTTCTTCCATCTATACTGCCCAAAAGTGCTGCAATTTGCTACTTTGCACATCTTGCACTGAACTGTTACCCAATTGGTTCTTAAAGATAAGCTACTAGAAGCGAACCTGCTGGATGAAGATAAAGGATGTCCACACTCAGATGCTCTACCAGGAAGCTCCCCTCTCTGGTTGTACTGACAGTAAAAGCCTGGGTCCTTTCCCACACTCACCAAACCACCCAGGACGCCCTCTTGCTCCTCCCAATGTTATCGCCTCTCCAAAACTCAGTATTTCATCAATTAATGATGCTCTTCCGTGTATACACACAGACACTTCAATTTTGTTCCATCACTATCTCCTTTAACGTCCTAGCTCACTTGTAGTGGCACAGAACTTCTTTAGGTTTAGTTTATGTGCATGTTGGAGTGAGTACATATGTGTAGAAGTGAAAGCCAAAAAACCACCTTTGGTATCATTCTTAAGCTATCTTGTTTTGAGAGTCTCACTAACCTGAAGCTTCCTGGGTAGACCAGGCTGACTGGCCAGTGAACCCCAAGGATCTGCCTGTTTGAGCACCCCCCCCCCCCAGTGCTAGGATTAAAAGTGTGCACCACCACAACAACCAGCTTTTTTTTTTTTTTTTTAACTTGAGTTATAGGGTTCAAGCTCAAGTTCTCAAACATTTTACCAACTGAGCCATCTCCCCCACTCAATGTCACTCTTTAATTTCTTCCTTTCTTTCTTTCGTTTTTTCCTTTTCTTTTTCCTGAGGCAGGGTTTCTCTGAGTAGCCCTAGCTGTCCTGGAACCTGCTCTGCTGACCAGACTGTCCTCAAACTCAAAGATGTGCCTGCCCTGCCTTTGCCTCCCTGAGATTAAAGGTATGTACCATCACCACCACCCAGCTTCTTTTTAATTTTCTTTTTTTTTTTTTTTAACATTTCTGTGAACTCTTTAATGCACTTTACAAAAAAAAAATTTTTTTTTTGCTACCAGGTCAAGCTGATGTATAGTATATTTTTTAATGCAGACTATTTCATTTTATGGATCAGATTTGGCAGTGTTTTCATTCATGGCATCTAGATTTAGTGCCAAGCACAGCAGGTCCTTTTATATCCCAGGATGATAAAAATACTTTAATATTCTAAGTAAAGAAATATAAAATGATTTCTCCTACTGAGGAGAATGTTATTTACTGACACACGTGGGGGGAAGCTGCCTATGGCGCACATCTGTATCTGTGTGTGCACGTGCTTCTGTGTGCATGTGCTGCACGCAGAGGGAAGGCCAATGCCAAGTTGGTTTCTTATTGTTCCCCTCCTCACCCAGTGAACCCGGGGATAATGGTGCTGTCATCCCACCAGGCCCTTTACATGGGAGTGGGAGATCCAACCTCAGGCCCCACACATGTACAGCAGTGAGCCATCTCGCCACCAGGCCATCTCCCCAGCTCCAAAAAGGACTTCAAGGAGGCTTCAAGAAAGAACAGGCATGGCTGCCTGGCTAGCTGCAACTTCTTTCACGCCCATGTCTGTTTGTGCTCCTAATCATCCCAGCAGGACCTCGCAGCGCACGAAACTGCTGGTCTTGTATCTGTCTCCACTTTCCTGCATGATGCTTCTGCATGTGGTTGAAGTGAAGCTGCCCTGAGTGCCTCTCCACGATGGCTCTTCCTAAGAGCGGAGCTACAAAGATACACATCTGGGATTCTCCACAGCCACTCTCTCTTCCAAGGAGAGAACTGCCTGAGAGATGAAGCTAACAAGCAAACACTACAAAAAGCTGATTGAATTCAGGGGCAGAAGGAAGCAAACAATGACATAAACAAGCTGAAGCATTTCCATGTAAACTTAACCTGTCCCAAAGATTCACTGGACTCCTTTTAAACACCATTTTGATTGAAGTCTATCCTTAAGTATTATTATTTAGAGAAATTAAAGCTAAATACAGTACGTGTCACTTATAAGTTGTTTTGAATTATTTATTTTATTTTATGTGTCTGAGGGTTTTACCTCCATGTATGTATGTGCACGACAAGGACACCTGGTCCAAAGAGGCCACTGATCCTTTGCAACTCTCCACTTCTGTGTTTTGAAAGAAGTTCTCTCGATGAACCTGAAATCCACTGATCTGTCGAAACTGGGTAGCCAGCAAGCTCCAAGGATGCACTTGTCACTACCCAACCCCAGGTTATACATGTAAACTGCCATGCCTGGCTTTTATGTGGTGCTGGTAAATCTGATCTTAGGTCTTCATTTTTAACATGATAAATACTTTGATGACTGAGCTATCTCCCCTGAGTACCATGTTTTAGCTTACTTATTTTCTTACCTTCTGGATTTCACTATGTAGACCAAGCTGGCCTTGAACTCACAGAGATTCCCTTGCCTCTGCCTCCAGAGGCTGGTATTAAAGGTATGTGCTACCAGCTCTGCCTAGCTTACTTTTTCTTTTAGTCATCATATGCTGTGGTGGTTTGAATGAGAATGGCCCCCATAGGCTCATATATTTGAATGCTTGATCCCCAACTGGTACAACTGTTTTGGGAAAAATTAGGAGGTTGTGGCCTTATTGAAGGAGGTCTGTTATTGGAGATGGGCTTTGAGGCTTCAAAATCCTCTCTCTGCCTCCAACTTACTTTCAGATCAGGATAAAACCTCTTAACTACAGCTCCTGTTGCTGCCATGCTCCCTGCCATGATGATCTTGGACTCACCCTCTGAAACTGCAAGCAAGCCCCAAATTAAATACTTTCTTCTATAAATTGCCTTGGTCATGGTGTCTCTTCATGGTGATAGAACAGTAACTAAAACACATGCCTGCAAGAGGATAATCCTAGGTTTATACAGACCTAAACATATCCCACAGTGCAATGGCTACCACAAAAGGCCAGGTTAATTCCTGCAAAGACTTCAACAGCCTTCCTTTTACAGTGTTGCAAAACCCTACTTCTTGACCCACAGTTACATTACAACAGGAAATAAAATCTCATCAAATCATTCTACCTAAGCCCTTATGGAAAGGAAAGCCAGTCCAACTAATGTGTCTCAGGATGGCCCTCCTCAGACAGGCGGTATACCCTAAGTAGGGTCGTGGACTGGAGAAACTAGCTACCACAGACAGCACATGAGTCTTTTTGCATTTTTTTTTTAAAAGAAAGTGTTTGTGTACCCTAGGGTGATCCTAAACTCTGATCTTCCTGCCTCTTCCTCCCTAGTGCTGGGATCATAGGCACTTGCTATGCACCCAGTTATAAGGTGTTGGGGATAGAACTCAAGGCTTTGTACATGCTAAGCAAGCACTCAAACAGCTGAGCTGCAACCCCAGCCTCCATTTCAGTGTTTCAGGAAGAACTCAGAAGGGAAAAGATGGCTTTTGCAGGATGAGCCTGACTATCAAGATGCGGTGTCACCAGGAGTAGAAGAAAAACAGGCAAGCAGAGGAGGAGATGGGTGGCTGTAACAGCAGCACAGCTTCTATACACGCAATGCTAGAAATAGTGGACATCTGACATGAGGGCAGAAGGTCTTACCCACAGAAGACTGGAACTGGGATGGAGCTGGGAGTGAAATATTTGGCACTGAGAGTGTGAAGACTTCTGCAGGGGACTGGATGGAGGGGGTATCTTCTGCTGGTGGTGTGAAATCTATCTCATCATCAAAATTATCTTCAAATTCCTGCAATCAAAAAAAGTGCATATGAAAAGTAGGCTGTGAATGCTGAAACAAGGAGTGTTTGGATGCTCATTTGGAACACTCTGCCATAGATTTATCCAATTCATATTGACTTCTAGCAAAAAACACAAGTAATTATGCTCACTAACTCCAAATAGCAGAATAAATAAGATGTTTTCTTTCTTGTTTTGCTTTGTTTTTCACCCTGGTATCCTGACCCTCCTGCTCCTACTCCTCAAGTTCTAGGACAGCAGGCATGTAACACCATATCTGGCTGGAATGAAAATAAGTAAGATTTTAAAGTAAGCAATAAATATTTTATGTAATTTTTTTTAAACTGACAACTTAAAGTTAACAACAAAAATTCCTAAAATGCCCACAGAACTTAACATGGAAATACTTGCCCAGGCTTAAAAGTTTCAAGGACTAAAGAGGCCAAGAATTGTTAAGAGATTAAACAATGCTTTCAAAAAAACCATTATTTATTTTCACAAATCTCTTTGTAAACTGGGTCAAAGTTAATTTCATTCTGAAATTTTCTAATTGCACTTCTAACTGCAATGTGATTTCTACTGAAATAAGGAGCTTAAAAATTCAGATAGTTAAGCGGCTGGAAAGATGAGTGGTTAAGAGCATTTCTTGCTCTTGCGAAGAATCTGGGTTCAGTTCTCAGTCCCCACAGCATTAACAGCCGGCTTTTCATAATGTGCTTGTGCACATACCCACAGACACATATATAAACATAGTTAAAAATAATAAAAGTACTCTGTTTTAAAAAAGAAACTATACCACGAGCTGAGTGTGGTAGTACAGGCCTTGTAACCCCAGTTACTCAGGAAACCTAGGCACTATAAAAAGTTCAAGTCCAGTTTCTACTACAGAGTAAGTTCAAGACTAGTCTGACCAACTTAGTGAGAGCATGCCTCAAAATAAATAAATACATACATACATACATACATACATACATACAGTAAAAGGAGAGCTTGAGTCAGTGATACTGCACTAGCCTAGCATGTGGCAGAATGTGGGCTCCATCCCAGCTCCACAAACAAAAGCGAGACTGCACCTATTAAGCTTCGGGAATCTTCTGTGACTTGGCTGGGCAAATGCTGTCTTGGCCCTTCCTATCCTCATCCCTATGAGCAGCATGTCTTTTGGGGTCCAGGAGAATTTAACGAAGCTACAGAAGATTAACAAGCCATTCCTTACTTCAGATAATCATCAAGTGTCACCCCTTAGAGCACCAGAATAAAAACAGGGAACAGATCCGTGAACAAAACTCTTCCATTTTTCTGCCATCCCCTTCTTTTCACTTTTCTGTCACATTCCCTTATTGACCCACCCACTATAAGGAAGAAAAACTACAAATAGTAATGGGAGACTCCTGGCATTTAGGTTTCTGCATACATGTGAGCAGACAGTCTCAGGCACTAAACAACATTATTGCTATTTGTATGCAGGAAAAATGAGGTTCTGAAAGTTCAGTATGTACGAGTCAACACTGGGAATGGTGCAGCACTGGGTGAACCAGCAGCATCTTTACTTCCCAGCCTCAGGTGAGAATGGGACACTGGCTCAAAGGGGAAAGGAAGCTGGGTGTGATGGCTTATAGCACTTGGCAAGTGGAGGGAGGAAGGTCAGGAGCTCAAGGCCACTATGGATTATATAAGATTTTGTTCAAGAAAAAAGAAAAAAGGAAGGAAAATAAAAGAAGAAAAAAAAACTGTTCCATTTTTGTGCCTTTGGGTCAGAGGACAAGTTTGGGGATTGGCCTTTGCCTTCCACTGTTGAGATATGGTCTCTTTTGTCCTCTAATATGCCAGGCTAGGTGGCCCTCTGGCTTCCGGAAAGCCTCCATCTCCCCACTGGGGCACTGGAATTACAGGCACCTGTTACTGTATCTGGCTTTACACAGTTCTGAGGATCTGAACTCAGATCCTCATGCCTACATAGCAACTGCTTGTACACTCCCAGCTGTACATTCATAAGCTACTCTTGCTAAAAGGACTTCATGCATCATACCTTAAAAATGTCACATAAAATTTGGCAGCAATTACGATATACCAGTAGATGATTCTAAAGATTCAGGGAGATGATGATGATGATAATAATAAAAATAATAATACTGAGATTAGGCCAAATGGCTTCCTGATCTGTATATGTCTTCCCCAAGGCCACTCAGCCCCTGCAACTGCAGAGCTCTAAGTCTAAGGAAAACCAACCAACAAGTCATCAATAAATACTCATTCAGTCAGACTCTAAGGCTGGAGAGATCAACACACTGTATCCTTGCATCAGTCATGGGGCAGCTGCAAAGTGATGTACATTCCCAGACTCTGAGCTGCATCACAATTGGCTCCCTTGTGAATACTCACATTCAAAAACTCAGATCATCTAAGACAAGGATGAGGTATCTGGAAACATGAGAAGAGGCCAGGCTTTGATATAAGCAACCCCATCAGACTTTTATCTTTGTCCCTAAGTGGCCAGGTTTCTGTACTAGATCCCTTGACAGAACTGATGGTCAGGGGACACAGATTCTCTATCTCTTGTTGTGCTCCCAACAGGTAAGTAAGGAAGCTCCCACAGAAGCATGTACATCGATGTGAACCTTGAGGGCAGGGTGCTGATGCATAAAGCCCACAGGTGCCCACAGGTCACAACTACTGCAGACTGTGATATAGGCTGAGGATTCCCTACAGGTCTCCCCTGCATTTAGCTTTCTGTGCTGGACAAAACATTGAGCCAGGAGGCACCACAGACTCAAGTGAAGAGAACCCAGAATAAAAAATGACATAAGGGGATCTGGAGAGACAGCTCATCCATAGAGTGCTTACTGTGGAAGTGTTTTGGGACAGGCTATCCTAGAACTAGCAATCTTCTCTCCTCAGCTTCCCATGTGCTGGGATTACATTCCTGCAACCATCACACCCAGCTTATATACTCCTTTTAAACAAATGCTGTGAGGCCCTAATGTGTCAACACATGGGCAATGATTTCTAGAAAGAGTTCCCAGTTGGTTTGCTAGTAGATCCCATCCATCTGCTGCTACTATGCCAGATCCTGTTACACTGACTGTAGATACAAGTGTCATAGTAGGAAGTGTTATTCTCTTTCAGGAATTAAGGTTTAGAGACAAACTTGAGGTTTCTAGTACCCTTCCTCATATACAAAACACTGAGGAAATCCCTTTGCTTTGCTAAGATCGCAAATTTACCAGCTTATATAAAAGCCTGAAAGAAACCAAACCCAGCCTGATCTTCTGTGCAGACAGACTATAAATAAATGGATTCAGTCACCACAAACTGTTACTTAAGTAAACAAAAACTTAAGATATACCATCAATAAAAGTGGTGCTTACTGTCAAAAGGTTCCAAGAAGACTGGGGAGGTAGCTTGATACCAGCATACATCTAAAAAGTCAAACATAAGCCAGGCGGTAGTGGCATACCTTAAATCCCATCACTCGGGAGACCGAGGCAAGCACATCTCTAAGTTTGAGGCCAACTTAGTTTGTATAGTGAGGTCCAGGACAGTCAGAGCAACACATAGAAACCTTGTCTTGAAAAACCAAAAACCATAAACAAAACAAACAAAAAAATCCAGACATGGTGATGCACACTTGTAATCCCATTGCTAGGGACGTGGAGACAGGAAGAACCCTGGGAGTTACTGGCCAGTCAGTCTAGCCTTATCCATGAACTATAGTCCCAGTGAGAGATCCTTTCTCAAAAAAAAAAAAAAAAAAAAAAAAACCCAAAAATCCAACTTGGTACGGCTGCCAAAGAACAACCTATAAGGTTGACCTCTGGTCTGTATATGTACAGGCACATATATGGAAGTATACTTGCACATACATGTGTATATACACACACACATACATACATGCATACATACATACACACACACACACACACACACACACACACACATATATATATATATACATACATACACACACACAGACTCCCTAAAACAGGGCTAGCAAACTATAGCTGACAGACTAATTCCAAGCCACCTACTTTTGTAAATCAAATTCTATTGGCACAAAGCCAGGCCCATTTGTTAGCAGAGCATCTGTCATTGATACAGCGGTGCTACAATGGCAGGGTGGAAGGTGAGAAGGCTATGATAGAGAGATTGTGTGGCCCACAATGTTTTGCTACATACAAGGACAGGGAAAGAAAAGCCCAGTGACCCTTGCTCTCAAGAGAATGTGATCCACAGCAATGCTACTGATAAATGTACCAGCTGTTTTAGGGCTGGGAAAATACTGTCATAAATTGTTTGCCTTGTACACATGAGGAGGAACTGAGTTCAATCAGGGCCCAGTACTAGGGAGGTGAGAGACAAGAGGATCCCTGGAATTTGATGGCCTGCCAGTCCAGCTTACTCAGAGAACTCCAGGCCAAGAAAGAAACTCTGTCTCAAAAGAGTATTCTGAGGATGGCACCTGAAGTTGTAGTCTGGCTTTCATGTCTACTCACCTGTGCACACACCATTTTAAAAATTAGCAGATGATTTTAAATGTCCATGCCATCTGTGCTCACCTTAAAGTCTATTTCTGGGTCCTTACAGCAGGAAACACAGTTTGCAATTAACACTATCAGTATCATTAAACTGCATACTGACAGGATCACAAACAGGGAGGGAACTTCTGCAACAGGTGCTTCTCCTGCAAAGACAGAAATTATGTTAAAACATAATTCGCAAGTCAACTTTAACTGACTGGACCAACACCTTTTCCTCTACACATAAATGGGACCAAGGGATCACAAAAAAATATTGCTTCACCACTCTAAAAGAGGTCAAGCACTGCAGAGAAAATAGTTCCAGCCCTTTCCCTGAGCTTCATTGATGCTTAGATCTTACATCTGTGTGGCACTTTCCCATTGAGAGAGCAAGACTGGTAGGTAGGATGAGCCACACTTCAGACCGTCTTTAAACTGTCTCCTAGTCTCCTCCAATTTCTGACAGTTTCTCAGTCTTCCTAACACTTTAGAGACTACTGATCAGTTGTGTGTGGTATGTCCCCAACTTGGGTGGCCTGATCTTCCCAAGCCTATGGTGATTACAGATATTTGGGAGAATCTAAAACAGCACAAGAGGGGACACCCCAACTCCTGTACTTGCAGCACATCAGAGGCATATGACTTGTCCCAGGTGTTGTTAACTCTAACCATATGATCCAGGGGATCTAGTCACCATCAAGTCACCATGTGTCCCCTTATAGACTCTATGCCTTGTGAGCAGATCTGCCAGGGTTCAGCTTTGGTACTGAGATGAGAAAAGGGCATGGGCACCAAGAAATCTTCTGACCACCAAGTAGATTGCACTCAAGAGGCCTTGAATAGCTCAGGACATCTTTATTTATACTTAAACAGAGTTTTTCTTAAAGGATTACATGAACAGCTTTATTATTGGTTTCTATTTTTGACTTTTAAGAAATATATCACAATTTAAGGAATACATCGCAATCATATAAAAGCCCCCATTGTTCCCCTTTATGTTTCCCTAATACATCTTCCCACCCCCTGCTTAACCTTATTCTAGACATAGAGTTGAGTATTTTGCAGGCTTAACTAAATATCAAGCCAAACACACCCTGCTCTCCCAGCACTTAGGTCAGCTGGCAGTTACTTAAGGTTACAAAATTAAAAAACAATAGACATGAGCACAATGCTTTAAGAACAACAGAATTCAAACCCAGACAATTCTTTCACATCTGCAAGATATGCTTTTTCTAAAGAGGGCCCCATGTCTCAATCTCTCTGTAAAAGGCAGACCTTGATAAAGCACTCTTTTCCCATCTCACTACACCATACTTCTCCCACCAATATAAATTCATGTATGGTAAAGATGAACCTCTCCTCCCACATTTTACATTGTATTTTTCCTCTCGGAGCCTTCCAGATCCTACCAATGATTCTATGATTCTATGGTGTCCAGAGAACTAATTCTCAATAGTTGGCACTATGTGTATTCCTAAGGCTTTCTTCCAAGTCTGTGTATGCATACCCTACTCTCCTTTCCAGAACTGTAAGACATGGTTAATGTTCCAAGTGTTGTTCTCTCATACATACCTATCTCCATTGAGTCAGAAAAATTCCCAAGATTGGGATTGTAGTTAGTTAATTCCAGATAAGAGATTTAAGGAGCATTAACCCCCTTCTGACTCTTAGGGGAAAATATTTGAAAAGGAACAGAATTTCCACAGAAAATTATAGCTGTTGCATGTATGACTGACAAAACTAAAAGCCTTTGGGGAGGTGATGCAGGCTGCACAATTTTGTACATTCCTACACTGTCCTGTGTACTACTGGTCCTTGCCAAGTGAGGTGTCTTGCCCCAAGGAAACCCATTGGATCCAAGACTAGGCTGCACAGCTCCGGACACAGATCCAAAGCCCAGTGCATATCCATTAACAAAAACGTGAGAGGCCTAAAATGAACTGCAGTTCATCTTACAAAGTCTATTTGTAAAAGCAACACTGATACCCCATCCAGAAGGTGCTGAGGAGCTAGCAGAACCAAAGACTTCCTGGAATCTGTATATCAGCCAAGGTTTGTCAAGAATCTACTAGAATAGTAATAAATATTATTTATTGTAAGTAATAAATATTATTAATAACCACCTCATCCCCTGAATACACATAATAAAAACAAAATATGACCCTAGATAACTGTATAGCTGAGTGTTTTATCTAATATGTCAGATTTTACTGATTTTAAAAATATGGTTTGTCAGCCATGTAGTGGTAGCACATGCCTTTAATCCCAGCACTTGGGAGGTAGAGGCAGCCTGGTCTACAAAGCAAGCTCCAGGACAGCCAGGGATGTTGCAGAGAAAATCTGTCACTGGGAGAAAAACAAAACAAAAACAAACAAAAAAACCACATGGTTTGTCTCAATGCTTTGATCTCTCAATCAAACCCAGAGCTCACTGATATGGCTAATCACCCCCACTCCGCTGGGGCTGCCATGGTGAGTACCTGGTGATCACATGGATTCCAGGGATCCAAACTGCAGGCTTTTTTCTTAAGTGACAAGTGCTTTAAAAGCTGGACCCTCTTCCCAGCCCTGCTATCCTTTTTGTCCAGATAAGGTCTTGTATAATAACCTAGGCTGACCCCAAGCTTTCAATCCTCCTTCCTCAGCATCCTGGGTGTGAGAATTATAGATGAACACCATTATGTCCAGCTTATCCACTACCTTTTAACGTCTCTAAATTCTGAGTATATCACACCTGAAACTAAGTTGGTTTAACTGGCAGGGTTCTTTCTTTGCAATGGCACAAAAAGGAAAGGTAGGGCTTGTAATTGGTTGCATCTGAGACTTGATAAAAATGCAGCATTATTTCATCTGATTAGCACAACACCTAATGTAACTGGACCAGCTCCATATCATAGATAAGGAAACTAACACGCCCAGAGCCTGTGGTGGGAAAGCAGCACTGGAGGCTAAGTGTTAAGAACATGTCCCCCATCCTTCCTAGACACCATAGTTCTAAAGCCTCCATGTGGTTAACTTTTTGGGGTTTTGTCCCAGTATATGGCCCTGGCTGGTCTGGGACTAAGGCATGTATAAGGGCTTCTAAGCCCCTTCTCTAAACTCCACAGAGATTATATCATTATCTTCTCCTCTCTTTTAATTTTCAAACACTAACCTATTTCTTATAAAACTGGATCACAGAGCTGCCTAAAGGCTGGTACAATGATCTGATTCACACATTGGTCTTCTGTGAGTTATTAAGGAGGCATGAAAAGACATACTTATGTTAACAAAGAGTCCTGCCAAGCTCTTATATACTTTCTTGTTTCCCTTTCCTTCCCTCCCCTCCCCGCCTCTCCCCTCCGAGTGTGTGTGTGTGTGTGTGTGTGTGTGTGTGTGTGTGTGTGTGCATGTTCATGGCCAGTGCACAAATGTATGCCAGTGTCCATGTGCTTATGTGTGTGCAGGTTGGAGGAGAACAACCTCCAATGGTTCTCAGATCTCTTCCTGACCTAAAACTTCACCAGGCAGGACAGGCTAGCTGGCCAGGGAGCTCCAGGAATACATAGTCTCCAGCTCCCAACTTACCATTGCTGGGATTACAGGGGTTCAAGTTCAAGCCTTCCCTCTCACACTAGTGAAGGGAAAACTCCCATAAAATGAGGAAGTGAAGCCATAGACTGGAAGGTGAGCTGGGTTTGCTCAAACCACAGAGAGGAAGTGAATTCTACAAGCAAGAACCACAACTGAAATCCCCAGGCCCTAGTGGTTAAACTAGAAACCCAGTCTCAAAGAGGCTCCTGGCTGCAATAGTCAGGAAACTATTAAGCCAGTTTCTCTTCAACATGCTCTGCCTACAGCATATAGTAATGCATAAATCAAAGCAATCATCTACTACAGAGAAACATCAACAATGACAGGCATGTCATCATACCCTCAGATAGCTCCCCAGGTTCCCTCCAGAGAGGAGGAGGAAGATAATAAGGGGCTTGGGTTCTTTAAAGCACTTTCCGTAAGGCAATATTTAAAAACACCGGGCATCTCAAAAGCACATTCCATTGCATTTTTATTCCACAGTTTTCAAAGCACTTTAATAGCTATCTAGTACTTGATTTACTAAGCAGAAAACTTGCTCTTATGAGGTAGTTGGGTACCTACTATTTGCTTCCAAGACAGGTAATTTGGGAAGGGCGGTAGTTTCCCAGTAATGACTCATGGTGGATCAGGAGCTGCTACCTGACTATTAATTTAGCCATTATAAATCCAGCCAATTATCTGATCACAGTGCCCAGAATCTCCAATGAAACCTGTGCGCATGTGTAATTAAGTGAAACTTGCCTGGGAGTCTGTTTTAAAGGGTCACATGTAAAAAGAAATTTATGACCAATGTCCAAATCCCCTGAGGCTCACACACCACCAATTCTCTCTTTCTGTCACTCCTCCTTTGTTCCCAACTGATAAATTTTTATGAGGAGAAATTCCTCATATTTTCCAGGTAGGTAACTGGGAGCTCGAGTTAAAGAAGAAGGGCAGACTGGATGCTGTGTGAACATCTGTTTACCACCCAGGAAGGGTATCAACAACAAAGAAATTGTTCCACTTAAGTCTAGCTTGAGGAACCAATGAATTTCTTTAAGAAAAAAACAAAAAACAAAAAACTGTGTGTGCACAAGTGATGCATATGTGTGGTCTACAGAGGTCACAGGACAACTTTACGGAGCCAATTCTCTCCACCTTTATGTGGATCCTGGAACTAAACTCAGGTCAGCAGCAAGCAATTTACCTGCTGAGCCATCCTGAAAGCTCTCACTGAATTTCTTGGAGATTATTTTCACAAGTGTGGGTGACTCACATCTGCTTCACCAAAAAGCCCACCCTGGCATTGGATCTCAGGTGACCAAAAGACCTTCCTCCAAGACCTCCAACAGAATGGTAATAGTGAGTTTCCTGTGGCTTATCACAGAGGCTCTGATTTAAGACAGCAAAGGCAATGGCAATGGCATGCCACAGGCACCTCAAGCTTTCTTTTCCAGTTTGTTTGTTTTTAATAAGTTGGTTAGATAGCGTTCTCTAGTGGTTGCCAGAATAGGAGGGCTATTGTTGCTCTTTGGGAAGACTTGTTATGAACTAGTGGGCTTAAACTGCCTGGCATGCCCAATCCACTGTAGTTTTCTTTTCTCTCCTT